AGAATCCGATCAAGAGCGCAGCCACCTCTAACACTCAGAGCTGTCGCGTGTTCATCGATGCTCCACCTGCTTTCAGGATTCAGATCAGAGCGCTTTCTGTGCTCAACAACACCGATACAAACTCCACATACATACTGGTAAGGCGCTGTTCATCAATCCTTTATCTAAACACTATCATTCAAAAGTTTGAGGCCTGTAAGATGAAGTTTTTTGAAAGAAACATTTTTTTTTCAGCAAGGATGCATTAAATTGTTCCAAAGTGTAAATACGTTTATAATGTTATGAAATATTTCTATTTAAAATAAATTCTGTTCCTTTGATTTTTCCAATCCTTAAAAAGAAATATTCAGCAACATCTGTTTTTAGTAAGAAATGTCTTGAGCAGCAAATCAGCATTTTAGAGTGATTTCTGAGGGATCGTGTGACACTGAAGACACTTTTACATTTTAAAATATATAGAAAACAGTTATTTTAAATTGTAATGATGTTTCACAATATCACTGTTTTTTTTAATCAAGCAACAGCAGCCTTGGTGAGAATCGGGAGACTTCTTTCAAAAATCTTTCAGATCCAAAACCTTTGTACGGTAGTGTAGAAGCATAATCATTTGTCTGATAAAGGAAGAGATGTAATCATGCTGTCTGTAGACTCTATAAGGGTTTGAACTAAATGAAACTCAAGCGTTTTGCGTTTACAAAACATATTAAAAGGACACTGATGACGGACTGTTTTGTGAGTCATTTACATCAGATAGACACTGAGCTGGCGTCCAATAAAAATAAGTAGTTGCGCAAGCACTAACTTTGGTACACAATGTGGATGTAAATGATGCCCCATATTGGTTGAACATAAACATGTTTATGCTGTGACTCTGATGTTTTCTTCGCTTACCCAGATTCGGGATGTGGATGCCTTAAAGACGACCATCTTCAGAGGGACTCGGCTCTTCCTGTGGAGCTCCTCGGGAAGCAGGGCTGAAGTGGAATTCCATGGGGAGTACCAGCAAATCAAGGGCATGTTCAGGGCAGAGTATTCATACATTAACCCTTCTGAAGAACAACCAGTGTAGTCTGTAAGAGAGCTTCTGGTCCATAAAGAGCCTTGGAGCATTTAAAAATCATCCTCGTTATAATTTAGCCAGTTTAGCACAACTGATTCAGAACAGATGATAGGGATTTATTAACTTTATATCAAAGATATAATCATGTCAGTTTTTAATATCATTTAAAAACAAAAATCAGACAATTGACTGTTTATATAAGTGCTTCTGTATATTTATTGTAATGAGTTAATCTATGTGAACTGACAATAATGTGTGTCAGGCCTACTGCTAATCTATCAGCACAAAATAAACAATCATCATTTTTTTATATTTAAGTGATTTAGAAAAAGTCCATATGGCTCTAAATTTAGCATAACAGTCCTACTTACCATTTGTGAAACTACCGTGGAACTTTTATAAGTATACTTCGTTTTTACGTGTACATTTGTGTATGTGCACAGTCGAACGGACAGACTTTTAAAGTGTACTCCATTTGATAGCATGTGCAAACATAGGCGCTCGACACTGGAAACACATGCACATGTGCACTGGAAACATTCATCCTCTTCCAGTGTCTGCGCTTTTTCTTTCCAACGGTTATGAGCGATAAAAAATGGTTTAAACTAGAGTTGAGGGTATGTTTTAATCCCCTCACATAAGCGCTCATTAATGTGGGCATATATGGTTTTTACCTTCTTCAGCAGTTACTTGTCATTTTTGAGTTAGTTAGGATTCTTTATTTGTCACATACTGTACATATAAATGTGATGCAATATAGTGAAATGGTTTTCCTCTAGTTTCTCGTCCCACAATGCAACAACACAAACAAGTTAAAAACACAGTAAATCAATAATACAAACATAAATATAACATAAAATGATAATGTCGGTGTCTGTATGTAATGTGTTTATATGTGGATTTTTTGTTCTGTCAAAAAAATAAAAAAAAGATTGCACTTGTACAGTATGAGCGATATGTACTGAAGCCAAAATCGATGTCACACCAACTGTACACGTACCCTAGCGCATACGTAAAAAACTGAAGTATACTTTGGGTTTAACATATGGCACTGGATAATATCAAGAGCTTTCTCACGCCTACAATTTCTACAGTTGAAACTGAAATAAAACAGAAGGAGTTTGTGTTTCTGGCTGTCCCTGTTTATGTCTGTAGTAGCCTCTAAGTCCATAGTCACTTCCCTGGAAGGTGAAGTGTGTAATTTCTATGCCACTATATACCCTGTGAAAATAATGACTGTTTTCAAACCGGTTTCCTGACTTCTAGTGTTTAGACAAACAGCCCCAAACCCACACTTCTGAGTCAACGTCGCTGTGTCAGACTGGTCAGGTTGCTCAAACAAACAAATAATGTTTAAAAGCCCCACATAGTCACAATGTTTATACTTTTCAAGGAAATCACCCTAAGAATGGTGTTGTAGTTACTTATAGTCTCTGCATAATGAAAAAAATCAAACATGTGACCTTAAAGATATGGAAAACCAATATGAGCCAATGTCAGGTTAATGACACTGAAAGTAGTAAAAAGCCTCCTGAAAGGGTTTCAGGGCTTCTGTGAGTTTCAGGGCTTCGTCATTCACTGGGTCTTAGACACCTGCTCCAGAAGAGTCTTCATGTCCAGAAGCGAGTCCTCTAGAAACTGTGACAGTTTCGTGGCGTTTGTTTCCTCGCAGCTATTGAAGGCGGTCACAGCGAAGTTGATATGGTCATCCATGGGGTTGTAGCAGATACCGTAACCATCAGGAACCATGGGTCCCAAACACATAACACAGTCTGTCTTTGATCCAACCTGAAAAACAAAGAATACAACCACAGCTTACATGAAAAATGCTGCATTTCACAACAACAGCAGATAGATTTACACTGCATGCAAACTCTTAAAGGGACAGTACACCCAAAGAATGTTAATTCATCATTAAATTTATTTTGTTTTGGAATCCAAAAAACTGGCTAGCTGTGGGTCGAGTGTCTCGCTTTCATCTGTCATCTCCTCTGACGTGATTTTGTGCGGCAGTAGTAGCTAAACTGGCTGCGTCCGAAATTGCATACTCTCTAAGTAGGTACTTCTTTAGAATAAGCAATTACTTTGCGACTGTTTAAAAAAGTCTGTTCTATATAGTGTGAATGTGTGTAGTATGAATGTAATTCATCTTGTCATTGTCCTGTGACCTACAGTACCAGCGTTAGTTGCATCACAAATTAGAGCCCAACCGATATATCGTTTCGCCGATATATCGGTATGGGCGAATATGCCGCCGATATGAATTTTTTTTTTTACAGAACATATAACACAGATAAAATGCTTGAAATGGTGTAATTACTTAGTTTGTCCAGCAGAGCGCACTCCATTGTTTGCTACTGGTGACCTGGATGAAACGCTTTAAAGCTTAAGTCCATGGAAAACCATTGAAAGTTTGAACGGCCATATCTCCGTAACGGCGCGGCGAATCTGCACCAAATTCGGGGTATCCCTTCAGCTCAAGGAACCCTCTCGAATGCGAATCGAGTGCATGTCTAGAGGCCTGCTTTTGAATGAGACAACCCCCGCGTCGATAGCCCCCGGGGTTTGGGAGTTACGGGTGGTTAAATTCGCGGTCCGGCGCCGACCGATCAAGCGAACCCGGGGGGCTACCGACACGAGGTGGGTGGCGCAAATCCATGAATGAATGTTCCGAAGTGAAATAAACTTCAACGGAATAAAGTTGAATGGAATTGAATTGAAGTTGAATAAACTTCAACTTTACTGTTTAGTGCACTGATGTCAGACTCATTTTGGATAATAAAGTTTATTGTTAAATTGTTAAATGCCATGCCTCCATTACATATCTCTGTCACCATTATAAGTGTTTGATCACCACATTTGAGTGATCATTGCAAAAAATTTGTTTATGTATATATATTCTCTTTATGTATATACTGTATTCTATATATAGTACCAGTCAAATGTTTGGACACACGAATGGGAAAGTGTCCAAACTTTTGACTGGTACTGTACTATAATATACACAAATAATATCGGCCGATATATCGATATCGGCCTTTTTTTACTCCCTAATATCGGTATCGGCCCCAAAAAACCCATATCGGTCGGGCTCTATCACAAATCCTCTCCCATGGCCTCACGGGATAGTGAAGTGCCAATAGAATGTGTAGAATCTTGTCAGAAGTTGTAAAGTGCAGTCACATTAGTAAAATTTCAGGACATTTTGCAGGCAATAAAGGTTCATTGTCTATTGTCAATAGACAAGTCAAAGCAGCGAATCCATGTGTCCAAATTGAACCCATTGCGACATCTGTATGCAGAAATGTTTTGCCTTCAGCAGTAAATTTCTGTTGTATCTTATGGATTCCTATTGAAATTACTGGATTTCACCCACACAAGTTTGCTGAACAATGGTAAATGCGACTGCACCTTAATTCACTTGGGTATAATGAATACTGTGAATTCAGACAAGCTACTCTTTTCACATACTGTTTTTCACCTACTACATAGTAGGGAAGTATGCATATTTTTATAAAGCGACTGAGTCGTTGTCTTCTTTTTTCCTTGGTTCACATGTTCACCTGCCCATTTAGTCTTGATAGATAATGGTAAACAAACTTAGCTTGCTGTACTTAAAGGAGGCTCAAACCCGAGGCTCGGCTTGAATGCTAAGCTAATGCCCTCTATAACGGTTCAACGTGGAGGAAGTATGAGAGAAATAGAGGAGATGTATGTGATTACTGTATGTGTAGTATTAACAAGATATCAATATTATTTCTTAAATATCACAGTTATCATCAATATTGTTATCCCAGTACAGTTGTAAATACATTCCAAAACAATCCTTGCTTTAACTGAAGCTAAAAGCTGTTGCAGCACAGAAGTGTCCTCTGAAAAGCATCTGTCAGATTTATGTATCTGTAGTGTAAACTATATCAAAGGGCATCAACTAGGCAGAATGACTTGCAAGGTATTACATGACAGTGAGACACTGTTACACAAGAGTCTCTAACAAAACCATAGCCCCCGGGAAAAACCTGATTATCAGTACATATTCAGTATTTAGAAA